GCGCACAGGGATCTAGATGGGAGGAGAGCACAGCTATCCAGAAGGGAGGAGCGCACAGGGATCCAGAGGAGAGGAGCGCACAGGGATCCAGAAGGGAGGAGCGCACAGGGACCCAGGAGAGAGGAGAGCACAGGGATCCAGAAGAGAGGAGCACACAGGGATCCAGAAGGGAGGAGCGCACAGGGATCCAGAGGAGAGGAGCACACAGGGATCCAGAAGGGAGGAGCGCACAGGGACCCAGGATAGAGGAGAGCACAGGGATCCAGAGGAGAGGAGCACACAGGGATCCAGAAGGGAGGAAACGTCTTTTGCGAGGTTATGATGTTATATGAGTTACTCCTTCAAAAATATTATTTAAACATACAATAGTGAAGGAAAGTGATTATTTCTTTTTATTTTTAAAAAATCACACATTTCTCTAAAGAAAAGCAGAAACAATTGTTCTTTCCTATGAAAACAGAAATAATGTACATGATTGAGAAAAATCAATCCATTTGATAATCACATTCAAGTAGTATAGATTTCAGTATATTCAGCATTAATTGACAAAGAACAAAATATATTTAAATGTCCTTTTAGAGTATGAAGTCTGTTATACAAACAAGAATTTAAAAGGCTACTTGGATATACCCTGATAATTTTAAGCGTATAGAGAAAAACCTGTGGTAGTCTTTAAGAAAAAGAGAACAAAACCTCAATTTAGAAAAAAAAAAAAAAAGATGCATTTGAGGCCGGTCACTTTGACCTTTTTGTGTTGCTTTAGTAGCTGTCTAGAATGGTGGAACTTTTCCAGGCAGAGGGGCCCTGCACAGGTCACTGTTTTTCTTCCTTGGTACTGTCCCTCATGAGGTCACTCTTTGGTTCCTGAGAATCAGAAGTGGGAAGATGGGCCTCCCCACAGCTGTGCATTTGACAGAAAGTGAATCGTTGGTTAGAAAAATTGGTGGCTATGCTTATTTTTTGAAACATGTAAGTCAGATTTTATAAAGGAGTAGCACCAAGTTCCATCATCACTCTTTTTAAGCATATCTGATTCTGAAAGCACTTTTTGTATACAGTGGCCATGTAGAAATGTCATCTAAATACTCATTGTTTAGAAGAGACAGCCCGTTTCCCAAACGCTGGTCATTGTCCGGGACTTGCAGCGTATGGATCCCAGGTAACAGGAGGAGGAAGGCATGTTAGGACGTGTTTAATGTGAGGACTCTATGCCTACCCGGGGCTTTGGCAGCAGAAGAGCAGGAGCTAGGCAGGAAGTTTGCAAGCTGAACACAGAAGACCGTTTGCCTTCGAAGCCATTTGCCTCCTGGAGAGAGACACCCAGAGGGAGGGTGTTTAGTAAATGACTACACTGAGCCAACAGACTAAGCTGCTGAATTACGGTCAGACTCAGATGGATCAGATGTGGGGAAGCCTGTATTTGAACTGCTGGCCATTAGCAATGGTGTTTGTTGCTATGGGAACTGGTGCTAAGGAACTATTAGGGAGAGATTTGGATTAAAGGGTGTGCCTGTGTGAGGTGGGGGAGAGGATAGAGAAAAAAGCTTGAGAGGACATAAAAATAAAAAAAGCAATCCAGTTGTAAAACAAGGCTCGATCCACATACTGATGGCTGCAAACCATATCTTCCTATAGAATTCACATAAATAAATTCATGCTTTCCAATTAATTTGAGGAAAATTAAGTATTGCCAAGGGACTGTTAATTTCTACGATATTTCGGGCATGGAACCAACGTGTAGGTGCAGCTTTCCTGAGAATTTTAGATATGCTTGACTAGGAAGTCATTACATCACATTTATCTGTTTAGATGTGGGAGACATTAACGGCCTTATGAATATTCATGGTGTCTGGTTAATTAAGTTAATTGTTCTGCAGAAGTGCTTGCACTTCCAAGGACAATTTTTTTCCTTTTTTTCTTTTTGCCTCCTTGGCTTCTGCCTGGAGCTTCCATCAGTCATGCTCTACATGGACTCCTACGTCTGTCCTTACTCTGTAGCGTGCGCATTTTAACAGGTTTGGGGAGGTAGTGGTGAGTGAGCCGAGTTGCTGGTAACGTTAAGAAAAAGAACTTTTCAGGCTAATTAAAATGTTTACCTTGAGGTAGATCATTTATACTTTTTGTGCGGATGCTAAAATTACATAGTTGCTATTTATGTGAGCAGCATGTTCTTTTAGCAGGTAGACATCTTTTCAGATGAGTCACATTTTGTGTCAGCTCACTGTCCTCTATCTTGTAGATTATCCAAATAAAAATATAGAGCAGTCTAGAGTTTTACAATTTTGCACCCACTTTCCTCATGAACACCTCCCTCCCCACCCCCATGGACTTCATTTATTTATTTTTAATTTTTTTAAATCCTCACTCAAGGATATGTTGTTATTGATTTTAGAGAGAGAGGAAGAGGGAGAGAGGGAGAGAGGGAGAGAAACATCGATGTGAGAGAGAAATATCGATCAGTTGCCTCCCATACACACTCTGACCAGGGAACCAATACCCAATCTGGCTATGTGCCCTGATCAGGAATTGAACCTGTGACCTTTCAGTGTACAGGAGGATGCTACAACCAGCATCTGGCCAGGGCTATTTTTTAATTTTAAAAAATATTTTTTCAACTACAGTTCACATTCAGTATTATTTTGTATTAGTTTCAGGTGTACAGCGTAGTGGTTAGACAATTGTATACTTTACAAAGTGTTCCCCTGATATTTCCATGCATAATTACTACAATATTATTTCTTTTTAATGTAGAGCCTAAAACACCATCTTAAGGATTAAGGTCCAGGTTAATTAGAGTAGAAGATGACAAATAATTTTCTGACTTCTGGTCATGCCTGTCATCACTGCCAAGTTCTATGGAATTAAGGGAAAGTTGCAAAGTTGAAAAGCCTTAGAATCATAGAAATAAAAATAGTGATCTCTAGCATTCTAAAAACAGTTGTGCTTGGGCATGCTTAGCATACTTCAAACTCACAGGGAATAAACAGGCTGTATTTTCTTGAGTCATGATATGTGTCATTCTCTATTGCACATGACAACAGTACATTATGCTTTTTAATAACCTTTCTAGAGGAATGCGTTTATGGCCATTCCTAATTAACCATGGTAATGGAGGAAATGTGTTTCATGGAGTACTGTAATCCATTGATAATCCTAAATATCTCCCTCTAATTATGTGGCCTCCTCCAAAATCTTCACCATAAATCTGATTGGGAAGCAAAATAGACTGATCTATTCCCTCCCCTCCCTGCCCCCAGTCCAGATTCATTAGCGATTAGATGGCGAAAAGGCAGGCGGTGAGGGTCACAGGATTATTAAAGAGGACTAGGTATTTGACTCCTGGGTAGAGGTCCACTGAGTAACAGGTTTCTGGACCACTTGTTCTCAAACCTTAGGGGGCATACAAATCAACTTGAGAACTTGCCAACACAGGGATACCTCCCTGGGCCTCACTCCCAGACATTCCACTCCCATGGGTTGTAGGTGGAACCCAGAAGTTTGCCTTTTTAAGAAGCTCCCAAGTAGTGTCCATGCTGCTGCTCCCTGGACCATGCCTTCTAGGAGTGCCTGTCCAGGTTAATGTGTACGCACGTTACCCGAGGTCCTGTACAACGCAGACTCTGAGTAGGGCCTGAGAGTAGGTCTTACTAAGCACCCTGGTATTGTCAGTTGCTGCTGGACCCTGGGCCATATTCTGAGTAACAAGGGTCACAGCATAACTTGCCTTTTGCTCAAGCAATTGGAGCCAATCTACCAGTTGGTTAAGGTGGAGTTCTCTTTGCATTGGTGTTACTAGAGGTCTGGAAATCATTAATGATTAGATAGATTCCTAATGATGATTATTATTTTAATGACGGTTTGTTACCTCAGCTTTTCCAACTGAGCAACCCAAGCACACATAAGTTCAAAGTGACGCAAATTGGAGAGATTAACAGGAGACCACACAGGAATATTTCTGATTCATAAATCCAGGGACAAACCTTTGCCTTGAAAGCCGAGGAACATAGCACATCCATGTTTCCACAGCCCTCGGCTGTTACAGGATTTCTTCCTCATATTCTTTAATTAAAGAAAAATTGTAGCTTCTTAAGTTTAAATGCTTTTTGCCTCGTGGGAATGGCAGGGACTAGCTGGTATTTCCCCCTTCAAAAGCAGACCTTTACCCCAGGATCTCAGAGACATAAATGCTCTAGGGGCCTGACTTGAGGGAGCTCTTTCCTTCTGAAGGTAAGAAAAATTCATGTGGATTTTAAATTATCTTAATGATCATGAAAATCAGAAATCTATAATGTCTCAATACAGATTTTCATACCATGGCAAATACCATGGAATTAAACATTTTCTTCATCTAGGATACCATTTGTCAGACAAAGGAGAATCCCTGTTTGGGTGAGAGCTTATCTCTGAGATGCATCACATGTACTTACAGCATGCCCTTGGACTTCGTAGTGATCGTGTGTGCTTTTCTTCGCTGCTGTTGGGACTTTTATATTTTATGTATTTATGCATTTGTCTCTGCTCTCCAGAAACACCCTTTTGCTGTTGGTGCTCCTTTTGGTGTAGAAGTTAGAAGCCCATTTGTTAAAGCTGGATGGAGTAGACTTTGATATAGCTAGTAGTTTTGGGTAGAAAATAGACATTCATGATGGAAAAAGCTGTAAGTAAGGAGATACTATAAACGATTTTCTAATCTTTAAGTTGTTTGAAGATTAAAGAATCATTCAGTAACCATTTGATGTGCATCTGAGCTGTGAATGGAAACAAATTTCCATTTATCATCTGAATATTACATAATGACATCTGCACAAAGAGCAAGTGGTTGGTTTGTAACCTAGGCTACATTGACTGTACATGTTTTAAAATTGATTTGGCAGGCTCTACCAACGTACTGGCACATTCTCTCCATGGGATCCCTCACGTGGTAACTGCAACTCTGCACATTATAATGGGTAAGAATTATTTCAAAGGAGTGAGTTTTATAAGCAAGGTTCTATATTACTATAAGGGAGGTTATTTTATTCCTGTCAAACTTGCCTGAAGAAGACAGGTTCTTTGTCTCTTAAAGCAGAGAAATGTTGAATTAAAACCCAAAGGTCAATTAGGCAACACTTCTCTGGACTGCCTATCTTTTCAGAATAGAGATGCTATAAAGAGCAGTAAGTAAAGTTTGCTATAATAGTGATAGAAAAAATACATTGTAATGATGTGTAAGATCATGATTTTATAACCATGTCAAGAAAATCCATGCACTCTATTCCAGTATATCAGATACTATTGCTGGACTGTACCAAGACTCTAGGGCTAGGATTATGTTATTAAAAGAAAGGAAAAAAAAGTACATGATAACACTTTTCAGCCACTGTACATCTACTCGACCTTTTATTATCCCAATTGATGGAAAACATATACACTCAGATAAATGCAATGCAAAACTGCTGCTAAATCTGTTTACTTTTCACACATCCTAACCATGCTTTATATGAAATAGCTATAAGCTGCAAAATCTACTGCTTTGTGTTTCTTTCCTTAGAACCTGAAAAAGATTCAAATGGCAATTCCAGTAGTTGTAGGTAAAGATGGAGAGAAAGCAAAGATATTCATTATGGTATAAAGTAGCTTGAGATCTGAAAGTAAATAAATGTGCTCTTCTGTGTTTGCCATTTTGACAACTGGCACTCTTGCACAGTTGAGTAATATTTAATATAATATTCAAGGGCACATACAACCGGTCGATGTCTGCACCTTCAGCACCACTGGCAAGCTTCTTCGCTTTGGGTTCTCGGCCATGTTTGGCTTTGGTGGGAGGACTTTGGCTCTGGCAGAAAAACATCGATGGATGTCCCCTACCCAACGGAGGGATTTTGCTGTAATTAAGGCCCTGGCAAAACTTAAGTAAGTCTTTTTTTTCTTAAACCAAGAATCTTTTATCTCAGAATCAGTGAGTGTTAATAACAAGTTTTATTTTATTTTAGGCCAGAGGACTGTGAAATATCATTTTTACCATTTAACAGCTCTCCAGATTTACAGGAAAGGTAGGTAGAAAGCTCAAAGCAACATCTACATCTGTATCTTTCTTTAAAGCAAAAATAGTTTGATATAAACAGATGGTTAGATTGTGATCTTTGGTTGCTTTTCTAACATACTAGTGAATAATATAGACTCATGGAGTCTTACAGATTCTAGTAGGCCATGTAGTCTGGTTTCTGTCTCCAGATACAACCATTAATTCATTCCATCCATCCACCCAACAGCTGTTTATTGAGTGCCTAATATATTCCAAGCACGTTGGATACATGAGCCAAAAAAATAGACAAATAAACAAAACCCATAGTTTTTGTCATCATGAGAGTTTGTTGGGTGTGGAGTACAAATATTAATCAAAGTCACACAAAGGAAGTGCTGTATTCTTAAAAAATGAAAATCATTTTTACTGGTGATGCTACCTAGAAATGAATCAATGCAATATAATTTAGTAATGGAATTATTCACATATTTTTACTTACTGTCTAATATAAGAAAACATTTAATATATATAATGTAGGAGTCTGTAATTTTCTCATATTTAATAGGTGTTATTTTTGTCATTATTTTTTCCCTTTGTTTTCTTATTTTTAGGAGGGCACAGGGATCTCCCAAATCTGGTGAGTCTAGAAGTATCTCCTTGAGAACTGACCCAGGTTCTAGTGCCATTTTGCTGTGGTGAGGGAAGGTAACTGTCACTTTCCTATCTTTAGACTGCAGTGATCAGTGGCAAATGATCCAGGGTCAGTTCTTGAATGTCAGCATTATGGCAATTCCTTGCCTGTGTTCAGTGGCACCTAGAGGCTTGGCACCTGATACCAGGTTAGTAAGTGTTTTTATTGAATCATTAATACTTTCCTATAAACCAAAATTTTCTTTCAGAATACCTGCCCCTCCTTGTCCCAAAAGTTGACTAGCTAGAATATTATGAAGAGGTATTCTGTCCTTGACTGTTTAATATTAGAGATTTTCAGGAATTTGTCCTCAGAGTAGGTTCAGAACAGCTATTAAACTGGAAAAAATGATCATGATCAGACAGTTACTTTGATTTTTTAAATATCACTGAGGGTAAAATATTCCTTGGGTTTTATTGACATGATTTGCTTTATTTATTTAGGTTTATTTACTGGTTGTTGAGAATATTATATTTAATTCTGGTTTCCAATTTTAGTGCAGACACAAATACCCGTAGCATGAAAAGCATGTATTTGTGTATATTTGATACCTTTAATCAAAAGAAACATTTTTGTTACACTTAATGTGAATAATGGTACATATGAATAAAAATCTACTACCCACATTTTATATAAAATACCATGAGACATTTTATATATTGTTTCATCCATAAGATATAGATATTCCATCTCTTACACATTCTTTTCAGTGGTTGTCCATTATTGGTATGAAAATTTCTCTCCCTTTTCCTTAGAGCATAGAAGAAAAGATCATGAATGTTGTATAATGTAGTCAAATCTAGATTTTCCCTGGAGGTGGAATAAAAGAATGACTAATGTACTTGGCCATCTATAACATTATTATAATGATTAGTTTCAACTTCCCTCCAAAATATTTAACTAGAATGATTATGAGTAAAAATTAAGCACATTAAAAAATACTGTTTCAGTGTTGTTTATTTTCAGTTGGGAAGAGATGGCATGACAAGTCGAAGCATTGAGCTCTGAGAATTAAGAGCTCTGGTTCTGTGATCATTTTTTCTTTGTGTGCCTCTGAACAAATCACTTAAGCTTGGGCTCTTCTTTTCCTTCTACATAAACTGAGTGAATGATGGATAATCTCCAACGTTCCATATAGCTCTAACCTGAGCGTCCATAGATTTAAAGAGCTCTTTTTTGTTGTTGTTATTCCTGGAATAACTTTGTATTTCCACTGAAATTGGGCTAGAAGTCATTCACATGTATTTCTGCAAGTGACCTTCGAAAGCTACATACATATGTGAGTGGCTCTTTTGGCATTGAATCACACATGCTAAATTTACAGTCTCTTTTATATTGAACCAAACAGCTATGCAAGATTAAAATGCTCGGTCATTTAACCGAACATGTGTGGCAGCATTTGTTCATTTCGTGTCATCCACCCAAGGGCCAGTTTGATTTAGTTTCCTGTGTCACTTAGACCTGCCCATAAATAAATATTTAAATCAACGTTAGATTTTAGAAAGTGTTGAGCTGTTTGTTATACCACTGGTACTATAACTATTTTATAATACATCTTTAAAAAACATGTAGAATCCTTAAGTAAATACATTGGATTTTAAATTATATCTTGATATATGGATAGGGTGCATAATGGTTCATTTTATAAAAAGCCCCGAACTGAAGAGCTTGCTGAGAAGAAGGCAATTGTTTAATAAAAGCATTTTTGAAAGGCTGTGTCATTTAAAAAATAACAGCAAAATATGATTTAAGAATTTTAAATAAATTTAATATGATGATGATTTATCTCTCTTGCCTAAAACTTCTAGTAAACGTTACATATTTTAGAAATATTGATATAGAGTAATTCTGATGTAATCTCTTAATAAACTTAATGTCAAATACAAATATTTAATTTCAGATTAAATAATGGAAGTATGGCTCTTATAATTGCACGGAACACTTCTCGACCGGAATTTATAAAACACCTGAAAAGATACGCCAGTGTTAAAAATCAGGTATAGTAAATTCTTTTTGTTACTTATATGCAAAGTTATTAAGCACGGACAGTGATATGTTGCAAGAGTTGACATCAAGTCTTGCCTCATAAGAAGGCTTTATTTTCTTTCGAATACATTAATTTTTTTTCAACCTGTACTTCCTCCAAATTTTAAAAAGCATCCACCAGTACTAATATAGATTGGCCTTTTTTGAGCTATGGCTTGGTGGTTATGTATTTGTGTCTTGTTGGCTTGTTTGGGTTTTTGTGCAAAAAGAAAATAGAAAATTTAGTGTTATATTGAAATGATGAAGTAAGTTAAGGTTAAAATTACATACTAGGGATGCTTTTCAGAATGAGAAGTAGTGAACCATCTTTAGGTTGAACTGAATGTTCACAAACATTAACAATTGTAGGGCATATTGAAAACCATCATTTGCAGTGTGACACATCCTACCTCCCCATCTCTGTGTACAGGCCATGGAAGGTAAAAATTCCATTTAAGGTTCTTTCGACTCCATCCTATATCTGGACAGTTTCTACTGCCCATGCATTTCTACATTCACATTGGCCATCGTTTTGGGGAGGGAGTTTAAAACCCTTAAATGCTAGAGTTTCCCCGAGGGATTTGTTGGTAGCCTCCTTGTCTTCTCATGACACCTCCTCCTGGGTGATCACATGGCCCCCTGTTTTGAACTATCTGAGTGTTGCCCACTTTCAAGAGTTCTGTCTTCTCTTCTGATCTGCAGGACCACTGTGGTTTCCTCTGTGCTGCGGTTATAAAACTCACAGGCATCTTGTGTCCATAGCTGACCTTACTGTCTTTTCCCCTAAAGGTGCTCCTTCCATGGTTCCCGACACAGGTCAATGGCATCACTCCACCCATCCTGGAGTTGCTCTCACTCCTTTGTCTTCCTCATTCCTCACAACCCATCCCCAAGCAGGTCTGTTTGTTCCCCTCTTAAATGTTTCTGAAATTGATCCTTCTCCTTACTTCAAAACTCATGCCTTCTTGCTTCTAATAGCCTTCTTTCTGGTCTTCCTTTTCCCTGGTCTTGTCTGTCTTCCAAACTTCCTTCTAAGGGGCTTTTTCTAAAACACACTTCTGATTTCTCTTCTGCTTAATTCCACAATGCCTCTATCATTGTCATCAGGCTAACATCTAATTTCCCCAGCATGTACATGGCCGTTTGTATTCTGGCCCTTGCCCGCTGAAGCCTCTCCTCTTTACCATCCTCTCCCAGAATTCCTGTTTTTGTCATTGTATCAGTTTGCTAGAGCAGACATACGGATATTACAGACTGGGAGACTAAAGCACAGAAACTCATTTCTTCACAATTCTGAATGGGAGAAGCCCCAGAATGTGGGTGTCTCCTGAGGCCCCTATTGGCTTGCAGAGGGCTGCCTTCGGGCTGCGTCCGCAATGGTCTGTCCTCTGTGTCTGCACATCCCTGGTATCTCTCTGCGTCCCAGTTTTCTCTTCTTACAAGGACACCAGTCCTGCTGGGTTAGTGCCCATCCCAATGACCTCATCTTAACTGATTACATCTGCAGAGACCCTATTTCTGAAGATGACATTCACAGGTAGTAGAGTTAGGACTTCTAGATACCTTTATGAGGGGCACAGTTTAGCTTATAATAGCCAGTTATTAATGACTCATTTCAAACTCATTTTTTACAATGAATGACTAGGTAGACAGTGATTAAGGAGAAATTTTTACAAGTGCGCAGTATGAAGGATGTCTGCAAGGCTGTACCCTGAGAGGGGAAACCTGATGCAGAGACTTAAGCATTTTCAGAGAACTGCTTGTGGCCCTCTGATCAGAACAGCCGATGCCACCATATCACCCCAATGTAATCCACTGAAACCCAGTGTGTGATACAGGATGAACTGGGAGATCTACTGGACTGTTTTCTATGTAAAATAAGGGTGTTTGGAAAATTTCAGTTTTCTGTCAACTTTTAAGTTTCTGTACCTCATTGAGGTTTCAATGTGGAAGGAGGAAGAGAGAACATGTAGATCAGTGGTTCTCAACCTGTGGGTCGCGATCATCGGAAAACACACATAGCATATCAGACATTTACATTACGATTCATAACAGTAGCAAAATTACAGTTATGAAGAAGCAACGAAAATAATTTTATGGTTGGGGGTCACCACAACATGAGGAACTGTATTAAAGGGTCGCGGCATTAGGAAGGTTGAGAACCACATTATAGATAATATGAAGAATAAGCCTCATGTCATTTATCTGAAAACTGAAATAAATGAGTAGTTACTCTGCATTTCTGCTAGAGTAAGTAGGTTATTTTTTCACGTTTCCTTAAGCAAACAAGAAAAATTGAAATTTGAAGTTTACTTTAGTCCAGTGGTTTTCAACCTTCTGGCCCTTTAAATACAGTTCCTTATGTTGTGACCCAACCATAAAATTATTTTTGTTGCTACTTCATAACTGTAATGTTGCTACTGTTATGAATCGTAATGTAAATATCTGATATGCAGGATGGTCTTAGGCGACCCCTGTGAAAGGGTCGTTCGATCGCCAAAGGGGTTGCGACCCACAGGTTGAGAACCGTAGCTTTACACTATTCTAAACAATTATCTTGGAACTTGTGGCCACCTTTAAGGTGGGTTCATGAAGCAGGCAAACACCTGTGAAACATTTGATTGATTTTTTTTTTTTGCCTTCATAAGTTTAGGCCTAGATTCTTCTTAAATTCCAAGTGTGAAACTTACACTAGACCTCGCTTTATATCAGCTAAACTAGGTGACAAGTTACTAATCAAGTCAGTGGATTATATAAATCTTCTGTATCAACAGACCAGTATTAAAGATTGTCTTTGGAAATTCTACAATATCATTACTGTATACAATTTCATAGAGATTTCCTGTTTTGTCATCCAACAAGTTTGGCCAGCTGCTAGATCTAAATGAGGTGGAAAGCTTCAGAAGAAGGGTTCCTTCTTCCAGAGAAACTGGGGAACCCTGGCTATAATTCGTTTCAAAGCATGCATGTTGATATTTACTTGCAAGAGAGCACGGTGAACTTTCTTAATGTGCACTAGCAGCTAGGGATAAAGGAAGCACCCTGATTATTTGCATTTTTTAAATTGCTGACAGTGTCACAGATGTCTCCCATTTTCTCCCTTTTGCCCCATCTCAGACCGTCACCATGCTATTGTCTGTGTCCATTGGTATGCATATATGTTCTTTGGTTAATCTCTTCCTGTCCCCTCCCACCCTCTCCCCTCCCGAGATCTGTTATTCTATTCCATGCATCCATACTTCTGGACCTATTTTGTTCGTTAGATTCTGTATATGAGTGAGATCATGTGATATTTGTCTTTCTCTAACTGGCTTAGTTTGCTTAGCATAATACTCTCCAGGTCCATCCATGCTGTTGCAAAGGGTAAGAGCTTCTTTTTTATAGCCACATAGTATTCCATAGTGTAAATGTACCACAGCTTTAAAAAAAAAATCTTTATTGTTGAAAGTATTACATTTACATACGTCCCCTTTCCTCCCCATTGACCCTTTCTAGCCCCTTTCCCTCCCACCCCCCACCTTCATCACCCTATTGTCTGTGTCCATGGGTTATGCATCTATGCATACAAGTTCGTTGATTGATCTCATCCCACCCACTCACCCCTGCCTTCCCTCTGAGATTCCACAGTCTGTTCCATGCTTCTATGTCTCTGGATCTATTTTATCAGTTTATGTTGCTCATTAGATTCCACATATGAGTGAGATCATGTGATACTTTGTCTTTCCCTGACTGGCTTATTTTGCGTAGCATAATACTCTCAAGGTCCCTCCCAAGGTCTCAAAGGGAAAGTGATTCTTCTTTTTTACTGTAGCAGAGTATTCCATGGTGTAAATGTACCACAGCTTTTTTATCTATTCATCTACTGATGGGCGTTTCAGGATTCTTAGAATATATTTCCAGAAGTGGGATTGCTGATCAAATGGCAGATCCATTTTGAATTTTTTGAGGAACTCCATACTGTTTTCCATAATGGCTATACCAGTGCATTCCTGCCAGCAGTGTACCAAGGTTCCCTTTTCACCATATCTTTGCCAGCACTTGATGTTTGTTGATGATAGCCACTCTGGCGGATGAGGTGATACCTCATTGTCCTTTTAATTTGCATCTTTTTGATGATTAGTGATGTTGAACATTTTTTTCATATGTCTATTGGCCATCTGTATGTCCTCTTTGGAGAAGTGTCTATTAGGTCCATTTGTTTTATTTAGTTCAATTTTCCATTCGTTGAGACTTACACTGTTGAAGAAGTAAAAGTTTATCCAAGGAATAAAACAAGTGCATACAGTCTGGAGGAGGAGGATCAACCACATGAAACTGCTTCAGAAAACAGTTTCCCCTGGAATGTAGATGGCGATTTAATGGAAGTTACATCAGAGGTCCACGTTAAGTAAGTCTAATTATTTCACTGCCTTCTATGTCCACCAGTAGACACAAAACTACTAGTATAATGGAAGCTTTCTTCCTGTAACTATCAAAGCAAGCAATTGGCTAGAGTTCTTTTTAAATTAGCAAATCAGGGAAGGATAAACAGATAAATATGTCATTTAAGTCTGACTTTACATTTATTCATCAATTGTTATGGAGAGTTAACACATTTTCTTTGGTTATAAGTCTACACTATACAGATAATGCATGTCTACAATTTCCATTTTGAATTTGAAAAACATGAGTCAAAAGTTTAAACCTTGTGACACTATCTGAGTAGATTATTACAATTTAATCCATTAGTCTTATACTATATAACACTTCGTACTCAGCAGTTCCATGTGATTTACATATCATTTAATTAAGTAACAAGAGCAACTGGTGAGCTCTCTATATGTACAATTGGCTGCATTTTACAGAAACAATGGAGAATATTAATCAAGAAAGCTTTATACTAATTCAGTGCTGATTTATTACACATCCTGCCCCAGTTTCTTTAGATTTCATCTCTGCCATGAATGTGTATGTTTTTGTTGGCTATCATTAGACTTGCACTCGGTATTAAGCACTGTACTCAATTGGTGTATGTGTGAAAAATAACAATGATAGGTTGATAAAATAATCAATTACACATATTATTTTATTCTTTGCAGATTACACCCAAGACTTATCAATCTTTATGGTGAAAGCATGGAAGAAATGAATGATTCCAAAGTAACATGTAATTGTTTATAACAGAAACATATGAACTAAAATTTTAATATGAACGGACATATTTTAAACAGATATCCTAACAGGAAAAAAAATATTTTAAAGAAATTAAAATTGCTTGCTACTTTTGACATTGCTAAAAATTAGCATTGAGGGTTTGAATATACCAAAAAATATTTAAATTCTGGGTTTTTTTTGGAATGTCTTTATATCTACTTTTTAACCTAGATATGTAATTCCAAAGTGAAATAATTTACATTCTTTCATTTTTCAGGACCATCAATTCTGTTAAATATCCTGTAGTCTGGTACGAATAGACCAGAGTTCATGTAAGAATGCCCTGATTTTCCTAATGAGGTACTTGTCCAGTGAGGTTAAATTTCAAAATTATACAACTCAATCTAACCAGAAATAGAACTACTATTTTCAAAATTTCTCTAATAACTAAACAACTTCCCCCCAAAAGAATCTCTCCTTATTTTTAAGTTGTTATGGTACCAATTTTGTGAATATTCTCTGAAAGTTGAAAATGCAAGTTGATTTTCTTACTTCAGAGTGGTAGGGTTTTAAAATTCATAGTTTATTAAATTTTATTTTAAACTATGCAAAATATCTAACCGGGCAGAATCTGGCCAAATATCTAACCGGGCAGAATCTGGCTCCTGACAGTCATATGTTCTGGCCATTATAACATTGTTTTCAATAGTACCTGAAATGCTGTCATTTCTGAATAGGAAAGAACCAAATTTAAGTTTCCTCAGGGATCGTCCTTGAGAAAGAAATTCTAAATTTGGGCTTCATTTTCCACCAGTGATTCTATACATTTTCCTGAATGGCTTCTATTCAAAAAAGTATACTTTAAATATTATAAAAGTAATCAGATTGTATTGGCACACAGAGTTCACAGGAGGTTTCGTGATGGATAACTTATACAGCAACAAGGTAGTCTGAGGAAGATGGCTTTTGGCAGGGACTTCCTATAAATATTTCCCATAATAGTAAAGACTGACTTCTAATTTATCTATTTGATTACATCTTGTAACAGATTTTCAAAATTTGGCCACCGTCTTCTTATACATATAAAGACAGATTTAGCTCAGTTCAGATGAAATTATATCCTAAGATCAGCATCTAGTTCATATGTATGAATAAATAATTCAAAAGATTATCTTTAAATGTCTTAAAATTTTAAAATATAAATTATATAATAATAAAAAGGAATCTAAGATAACCAATAAAAATTTAAAAGGTTTCACTGATCACTAAAACATATACCATGGAAATTTTGATGTTATATTTATATTCACTGGATATAAGCTAAATCTATTTTAAAATTATAAATTATGTTTCCCCATTTCCATGCAGAAGAGATTGATCTTATAAGCATTTAACACTTACATTTGAATAGAAAAGGGTAATATCCAGTTACTATTTACAGAGTATCAGTATGATAGATTTCTCCTTAGTCACTGTTTTTACAGAGCTTTGATTTTAAAAAATTATTTGTGAGGTAAAGTTTTCATATTTTACATATACCAGTTAAAGTGCAACATTCACAATCTGTTTCAGAATATAAATTAGAATTTTAAGTACTGTTGTTTTGTAAACAAGAAAATTGACTAATGATAGATTTTTAAAATTTACTCTGGGGTACCCTTGAAAAAATTGTTACAGGAGAGACTTATGGATTTATACCTATGTGAACATATATGTATATTTCAAAGTTATGTATGTACAGAAAGAAGAAAGAAATCCATAGTTGTATAAACAACAATTACCCAGAAGTCATCCCATTAAGCTCAAACCAGTGTATAAAAGTTCAGTCTGAAGTTTGCTCTTCAGGCCCATTAATCATAGACTGCTGAATGGTTGTTGATCAAAGCCCATAGGAAATATATTACAAGTAACGGGCTTAAAGGTAAAATACTTTCTTTAAAAATATTTAGCAGAATTTTTTCAAAGAGCTGTTTCATTCATTAGGAAACAGCTCTTTGAAAAATTCTGCTGAATATTTTTAAAGAACATAATTCAAACAAGTCTCAAAGATTAGGAATTTATTTTGCTGAAGCAAGCATATATGTTGAAGTCCAAGACTTCTTCAATCAAGTTTTATGATTTAATTCAGATGCACTTTTATTTCCAAATATCTTCAAGGGATTATCTTAAATGTTTTAGTGTTTTATATCCATTTAATAACTGAAACAATACCTTTTTCATTTGCCTTAAGACATAGTATGTCACAAGGTTATGAGTAAAAAGTACATAAAAGAACTCTGGGCAAAGCAAAGTTCATGGTTTTTTGTAAACAATGTCTTAAATTTCTTTATTATATACCTGAGTCTTAGTTTTCTCAATTTAAAAGAAATCTTTAATCATCATCATCATTGCTTTTACTGTTAATGTAATTCCAACTGTCTCTTCTGTTTTCTTCTTGTAGGATGGATTTGTACTGTCTTTTAAAGAAGCCAGCCTGAAAAAAATCAGTGTATAATCACTAGTGTGCAGTTATTACACTCATATAAAATATCTAGACAGTCAATGGCAAGTTAACATCGGTGGTACTTTCTATGACTTTAAGTAAAACAACATACAACAAAACCAAATTTTTCATAGGCTAATTGATATAAACAAGAGTTAATTGACACCATTTGAGGACCTGCTATAGTTCTTAAACTGTGTCCCATGTAGTCAGTAAAAATTAATTTGGAAAATATGGGATTAAAGAGCAATTCCTGCAGGACTTACTAATGCAGGTGTAAACTCCCTAAAATTGACATTCAACATAATGTGCAGTGTTTCTCAAATGTTTTTTTTAAAATGAGTTATCTTTAAAGAAGGCATATTTTTCTCGAACTCTGATATGGAAGTTAGGAGAAATATGGTGAAATTAGTACTATATATTCACTTGGGAGGCACAAATTGGCTTTACGAAAGTCAAGGGTGGCATTTTGAGTGGGTTAATTATTAAAGAAAGGCTTACCTTCCACATAACATACGAAATCAACAAAAGTAAAATAAGTCCGAGTATCAAGCTACTTGAAATAATTGCTAAGGTCAGATGACGTGTGGGTTTTTGATGATGTAGTCCTTCGAGCCAAACCTACATATTAACCAAAATAAAGAAGCACCAGTTTAAAAGTTTGCTTGTTTCCTTTGCAGCCCCTCCTCAATCCCCAATAGTATTTAGAACAACCCATCCCATTCTCTTGCTGGTTCGAATATAACCATAGGAAATGCTGGTAACTGATCAGCAGAAACAGTAAGTACAATGGACTTTTTCTGTGGTTCTTCCTCCAATCCATCCTAAACTCCTTTAAAAGCTGTCATTCCCTCTTTCCAGGTGTGGAAAATACCAACTCTCAGGAAAGTATTTCAAGCCCTCCATGATCTAGTAAAAAAAATCTATTTTCCTGACTAAACACCTTAGCAATACTATTTTTCCTACAGTCTTAATGTTTCAGTTTAACTTACGTGTGCAACATTGTCATCCTTGTTTAGTTCAATAATTTTTGGATGTGGCTCTGGAAAAGCTGTCGCTCTTATTTCAAACTTGAGTGCTGAAGTCTCATCCTGTTTAATAAAACTATGAATCAATAGAGATCTTTCGTTTATTTTATGAAGATATATTAACAAAACTAATTTCTCATGATCCTTACCTACTATCTAGAAGTTTTCATAATTAATGTTCCACAATTTACTTCACCATTTGTAATTAATTGCAATGCTTTCTTTGATTATAAAGGCATGGTCTAGGTATAAATTTATATGGCACCATTTTGTTGAAAAAATTTTTTAAAAATGTATTTTATTGATATTTTTTACAGAGAGGAAGGGAGAAGGAGAAGGATAGAGAGAAACATCGATTCAGCTGCTTCCTGCACAATTCCTACTGGGGATGTGCCCGCAACCAAGGTACATGCCCTTGACCGGAATCGAACCTGGGACCCTTCAGTTCGCAGGCCGATGCTCTATCCACTGAGCCAAACCAGTCAGGGCTTGTTGAAATTTTTTTTATTAAACATAGCCACTTTGCAGATAATTTAAATATTATGTGTTAGTTTGCAGTGTATTTTCCCCTGAGTATTGAATTTTTAACCCCAAATTAAGACTTTCTTCACTTGATAAACCTTTCCTAAAATTCATTTTACTTGGGCTTCTTTTTCTTTCTTTCTACATTGTGCTGCTCTGATCGAATACACATAGTCTACCTAATACTGTAATGGAAAAATCTGGTACAACAGTAGGTTGATGAACTCAGAGCTTTGCTATTTAATGCAGAGACTTATAAGCCAGAATCCCCAGACGCTAAGGACTTTTGACATTGTATGCAAAATTGAGGTGTTTAAGTATGTGCATTCATTGGGGAAGATGAGAATATATTCTTGAAGGTTTTAAAAGTTTTTTTGTTATTGTGTTTTAAAGACAATTTTACATTTTAGCTTTATTCAATATTAGATTTTAAGCATAATTTAAAATAGTTTGGAAAGAACTTTAAGGTTATACAAAATGTTAAGGCAGTCAACTTCTTTGATTTAATCAAGGTCTATAAATAGTTGAACATACTTCCTAAAATAAACATCTTAATTATCTATTTAATTACTAAAAACCATGTCATTTAGACAATGTATTCAGCTAAAGTAAAAGGGGAGAGATCAACCGCACCAAAGGACTTGTATGCATGCATATAAGCATAACCAATGGACACAGACACCAGGGGAGTGGTGGTGGGGGGGTAAATAGGGGCTAAGGACACATATGTAATACCTTAATCAATAAAGAAAAAAAACTGAAACAGTTAAGTTTCACTCTAAATTTTATTTGTTGAATGCGTCCATATATACCATCCTACTTAGATATAGTTTGCAGATTCTGTATGGACTTACCATTTCTAAGATGGATGGCCGGCCTTCCAGCTGAATGTGAACACTGGCTTCTTTCCCACTTTCCATTTTTCCAAAATTGCATGAGAAATTCAAACAATGTGGATCAGCTTTTGTGCAGTACTTGAAAGAATACCAAAAAAGTTACATTGAAATTTCAACATTTTTTAGAAGATGGCTAAAATAATTTACATGGAATTAAAGATCTGTTTTTGTTAGTGGCATTTTAAAAATCTTACTTTGAACAATTTAAACAAATGTTTGTTTTATAAAACAAAGTATTTGAACTGGAGCATGTGTTCTTACGAACCTAACCGTCTGGGATAGATGTTAAAAAGAAAGACTCCTAATCAGAATCTTGCCAAGTTGGATGTTCTCTGTTTATTATAAAAGTTGAATAATTTGAATGCTAGGATTGCTTGTTTTGTTTTTTTCCCCCCATAAATTCAATTAACTGAAAAGAGTCAAAGTTCTTTTGAGTAGCCTTTGTGAAATGAGATTAAGAGGGTATGGAGAAATGTCTGGCTGGCACAGATTGGGCATTTGTCAGACAAATAATTAAAATGTATATAGTTAACCCTGGGTCTATCTCAAATTTCTAATCATGTCTGTTCCTCACATGCAAGAATATTCCTTGTTTCTCTCCTAACCCAACTGACAGCTCAAACCCATTGACTTTAAGCATTTCAGTTCTGTATGTTGGAAAACAAAAACAATGAAAAACTGAAACTTACCAATAGCC